TTAATAAAGTTCCATAAGTGTAAATTTATGTCTTCTCTTTTATGGCCCTTTAAAGTGTTAGGTTCTCCATGTTCGCCCATATTAATACCTTCACATCAAATATCATTAAAGACGAACAAAAAAACAAACAAAATCCTCTCCAGCGGGATAAAAAAAATAAAATAAAAAAACAAAAAACGCTCTGCTGGCATTTTCCTAGTACGGACAGTTGACAAGCCTTTTTTCGGTCATTTACCTCAGATGACGTGCTTGTCCTATGCAAGAGGATAAAGTCATTTCTTTTAAAAATCTCTTTTCATTTTATTTGGGACCCAAGATTTTTAATGTGAAAAATCAAAATTTTAATTATTGTGACGTTTGATAGAATTACATATGAGTATCTTAACTTTTTGGACATATTGTAAAATACGTATGAAATTACTATTCTTGAATTAGTCTGATATTGAATTAATGAAAATTTATTGTGTAATTTTGATTATACTAAACTACATAACAAAGACCACAAGATGGTGAGCAGGTTATTTAATATTTGTGACTCTTCTCCCATCCAACCATTCCTATTTTGTTGTTCAATATAATTTAAACTACAAAACAGAGAATTTTTGAATTAATCCTAATAAATAAATATAGTGGCTTAAATATTACTCCCTCATTCTCACAATTTTTATCCATCTTAATTAATTTATTTTTTCAAATTATTGTTGTCTTATATTTTAAAGATGTATTATTTTTTATTATTATTTTTAACCATGTAATTAAAGAGATTAGTTTTTATTAACCAAATCTCTAAATAATTAGGAAGAAAAACAAAACCACATTATTTCAATAAGACGGCATGGAAAAGACTAAATTTAAATGATATAGTTTTGCAGCTTTTTTTCTCTTAATTTTTAAAGGTCTAGTTAATAAACACTTTTTTCCATAATTAAAACTCATAATTAATAACTCATCCCATTGTTGACGACTTACGTATCTTAATGAGGAGTTCTGAGTTTGATTTACATGATATTTGAGTGAAATGGGTTAAGGGATGAGAGAACATTATCTTTTTTTTTGCAACCTTAAATAAATAATAATAATAATAATAATTCACCTCATTAAAAATATTTTTCTTTTGAAGTTATCTTACCAATAATTTTTGTTTTAGGACCATCTTAACAATATTAACTAATTATAATTAAAAACAAAAGCAACAAATATTTTAGAATTGAGGAAGTCCTTAAAAACAAGGTGTCACATTATGGAGTCCCTCACGACAAAACAAGAGTTTAAACTTGTGTTTTCTCTCACTCTAATATATATAAAAAAGAAAACAGGTGCTACAATGGAGTATGTAAATGAATAAGCGCAATTTTGGAATTGTCATCTTCTGGAGCACATTGGCAAGCGTCCCCAAATAAACGCAGGGAAAACAATAATTTTGTAGTGATATTTACAATTAATAGCTATGATCAGTCTCTTGTGCACTGCCTGCTCTGCTAGGGTTTTACTATCATAGACTATGTTAAAAATATATTGAAACCGCAACGTCACTTCTAGCATTACCATCATTTCTTCCAAATATCTCACATTCAAGTTTTGGAATAGATGAAAAGAGATTTAGAAAGAAAAAAATTATCTTTTATTGTACAATTTATTATTTGATGTAAAAATAAAAAATAAACAATCTACCAAACATTTCAAGGCCGGCATTTGGCAAGAAAGTTGAGAGCGACCTCTTAGAGTTATGATCCTCATGAATAGTTCCTTTCCATTGCAAAAGGAAATGAAACACTGAAATGGGACCACACGTCCAAAAGTAAAGGAAAAAAAGGTTTAATGTCAGTTTTAGTCCTTAAATTTTTAATTTAAAACATTTTTAGTCCTTAAATTTTTACATTTTTTGGTTCCTAAATTATAAAAGATATATATTTTTTTAGTCATTCTATCAATTAGTTTATTAAATATGTTTAAATATACATATTTTCAATCTTTAAACTTATAAGTACAACTTTTTTAGTCCAACAATTAGTTCCTCTCCCATAAAATACCACTTAATTTTAAACATTTTCCTTCTAAACATTTCTAAACCGAGGCCTAAAATCGTCTCAACCTTGTCCTTCTTAACTTCTTTTACAAAGAACGGGATACTTTATTTTTCTTTGATATAGATGGATGAAGATAAACGATACTTTTTTCTTGTTTTTTTCTCTTTGATATAGATGGTTGAATGGCACTTAATTTGGTTCTCTACGGCAGGTACTAAACAACGAAGGATGTAACCCAACTATATCTTAAAGATATGGTATCGACCACCTAAACTATTTAATGATGATCTCAATTTTTTTAGAAATAAAAAATTTTAATTTTAAATTATAAGCATGTGAGTTTTTTTTTTTTTTTTTGATCAGCCAAATAAAATTTTTTATTAATATAAAGTATAAAGGGTACTCTAACTCATATTTACAATACTCTCATAATCATTATCAAATTTTCACTCACCTTTTACAAAATAAAAAACAAAATTAAGCTTTACATAGAGTTAGGAACTGATACCAATCACTATAATTGAACATAGCAGATTTAGATTTCCCCTTTATCCAACCAAAGGTCTTTGTTTTGTTAACACTAACTCAAAGATAGTATTTTCATTCTAAGTAAGGTTGTGTTGTTAAACACGATACCATTACGAAAATACCAAATGGCCCATTTATAAGCATGTGAGTTAAATGTGATAAGAGAGAATTTCTTTCAATTTTACAACTTAAAATCAAAAAATAATTGTTTGGAGTACAATTTGATGCAAGCAATTAAATCCTTCAGCGAGGGTATATTTAGTTTGATAGAAACGTCCACCCATTTAGGTAAATTAAAATGAAGTTAGTACCATATTGCAATTAAAACACAGTAAGAAAAGCTCCATATATATATATATATATATTAATAATCAAATAAATAATTTTTCTCAAACTAAGCTTTTAGTTCTAATAGTTCATTTTTAAATTTTAAATGTTTAGATTAAATTAATTGAGAATTCGATTGTCATCAACAACTTGAAAATTCTCCATTCTCTCATAATTCCTTATGTTCAAAATAAATAAATAAATAAATTTTTCTCTCCTCTTTGTTTTTGGTGATACGAGATTCACTAATCACCTTAAAAGTTACAAAGCAGCAAAATTTCGGCCATCATTGACACAATAATAGATCACAGCAGTAGCATGCTCCATGACATTTAAAGACTCCATTATAGAACAGACTAATTTGTTATCAATTCAATCATGAATTATTGACCACAAGACATTATCATGCAACATTTAGTTAATATATCAATATCATGTAGCATGTTATGTTATATTATATGAGTCAGTTTTTTTTTTTTATACACTTGAGAATATAGTCCCTTTTTTCTAATTTTAATTATCTTAATTTGACCACATGTTAGGTAATACTTTTTTATAATATATAAATAATAATTTTTTTGATAAAATAAAATTACTTAAGAAAATCTATGTATGAAAAAAATATTTTTTAATTATCATTCAAATATAGTATAAAAATGCATTACTTAAACTTACGTTCACGGTCAAATGAGGACAATTAAATTTAAACTATTAGAGTAACATACAACAACAAATAACTCACTTCCATCCTCAGAAAAAAAAAAAAAAAAAACAAATAACTCACTTTCCAAAATCATTTTCCAAAATTTTCGAAAGTGGAACCACTATCAATTTAGAATTTTTTAACTCTTGAAGGTCAAGTTGAAGAGTTTAAATCCTTGCAATTGAAGGTCAAGATGAACAGTCTCCTGTTTGGTGGAGTTTCTTTCAGTTTTTACTTTTTTAATACTGTTTAAGTCATAAGTTAAATTTTTATTAGAAGAAAAATTTAAAAGTTATTTTTAAAAATCATAAAAAGTGAGTAAGAAATGAATCAAAAGAAAGTTTACAAAAAATAAAAATTTGAAACTTTTCAAAATTCACTGTTTAAGGTCTTTTTAAAATTAAAAAAAAAAGTAAAAAATGTAAGTTTTTAAAAAAAAAATTTAAATTTATAAAACATGAATACTATCAAAAAGTTAAAGCACTTACAAGTTTCACCAAACATGCTCTAAATCCTTACAATGTCTAGCTACTAATTCTCG